TCAGACAGGCATTAGGATGTGCGCTGAATGTTTTGAGGAATCCAATCCGATTTTGTACTTGGTGGAGATTCACAATTGTGGTTTGTAAAAATTGGATTGTGGCAACATCAAAATCAAATTTTGACACATGCACACTGCACAGGTGCAGAAAAGTTCCATATTGCCAGTAACTTTAAAGATCAGTAAAATTGTAGCCATGGGTGCCAAATAGTGCCAATGAGTGTGGCCAGGTGTGCCCAAGCTTGTTTTTGGCACACCGTGCGGAACAACCCCTTGGTATTCTCTAAAGTTTCCACAATTTTCATAAAGTTCATGGAACTTTTCTAAAGAATTTGATATTTCCATAAAGTTCTCGGAACTTCTAAGCAGTTCAATTTTGAGAGTTTTACGTTTTGGTCTACGGTACAGTAACAGTCGTAAGATTCATGATTTAGCCAGAACTTATGTGGGCTTTTTGGAGGTTCCATGCACTTGTCGTGAAACCCGCGAGCGTGTCGGAATAACATATCGGAAGATCTATAAAATTTTCAAAAGTTCTGTGAACAATAGGGATAGTCAAATTTGCCAGAAGTTTCGAGTTGTTCCTGGAGCTGTCGGTGAATTGCGGAGATGTTGTTCGTAGTCCGAAGAAAATCCGAGAAGTCCGTTGAACTTCCGGGAAGTCCGCATAATATCCGACGTATCCGTAGAATATCCGAAAAATCCGTAAAATTTCCAAGAAGTCCGTTAAAATTCCGAGAAGTCCGTTAAACTTCCGAGAAGTCCGGAGGTCTTCCGAGAAGTCTGTTAAACTTCCGAGAAGCCTGTTAAACTTCCGAGAAGTCCGATAAAATTCCGAGAAGTCCGATAAACTTCCGATAAGTCCGGACATCTTCCGAGAAGTCCGGAGATCTTCCAAAAAGTCCGAATAACTACCTAAGTCCGTAAAACTTCTGCTACGTGCATAGAACTTCCGAAAAGTCTATAGAGCTCTTGAAAAGTCCATAGAATATCCGGTAAGTCCGTATAACATCCGAGCAGTCCGTAGATCTTCCGAAAAGTCCATTAAACTTCTAAGAAGTACATAGAAGTTCCAAGAAGTCTGTACAGCTTCCGAAAGTCTGTAGAACTTTTGAGAAGCTCGTTGAACTTTTTAGAAGTTTGTTGAACTTTTGAAAAGTTCTTAGTTGTCGGAGCTGTCGGTGAATTAGGAATATGTTGTTCGAGATGTTGGTAATGGAAGTTCTATGAACTTTTCTTTTGAAACTTGACAAGACCAGAAAAGATCCGAGAAGTCCATAGAACTTCTGGGAACTCTGTAAAATTTTCGTGAAGTCCGTTAAACTTTCGAAAAGTCCGTTAAACTTCCGAGAAGTCCGTTAAACTTTCGAGAGGTCCGTTAAACTTCCAAGAAGTCCGGAGATCTTCCGAACAGTGTGAAGAACTACCTAAGTCAGTAAAACTTCTGAGACGTACATAAAACTTCCGAAATGTCTATCGAGCTTCCGAGAAGTCCGTAGAATATCCAATAAGTTCGTATAGCAGGCGAGCAGAATGTAGATCTTCCGAAAAGTCCGTTGAACTTCCAGAAGTTTCATTGACCATAGAAGTTCCAAATAGTCTGTAGAGATTCCAAAATTACCGTAGAACTTCTGAGAAATCTGTAGAACCTTTGAGAAGCTCGTTGAACTTTTGAGAAGTTCTTAGCTGACTGCTGTCGGTGAATTGCCGAGATATTGTTCGAGATGTCAGTAATGGAAGTTCAATGAACTTTTCTTTTTAATCCTGAGAAGTACGAGAAGTCCGTAGAACTTCCGGGAAATCTGTATAATATCTTAGATGTCCGTAGAACATCCAAAAAAATCCGTAGAATTTCCGAGAAGTCCGTTGAACTTCCGAGAAGTCCGGAGATCTTCCGAGAAGTCCGGAGATCGTCCGAGAAGTCTGGAGATCTACCTAAGTCCGAAAAACTTCTGAGACGTCCATAGAACTTCTAAACAGTCTATCGAGCTTCCGAGAAGTCCGTAGAATATCCGATAAGTCCGTATGGCAGCTGAGCAGACTGGAGATCTTCCGAAAAGTCCGTTGAACTTCCAGAAGTTCCATAGACCATAGAAGTTCCAAATAGTCTGTAGAGCTTCCAAAATTACCGTAGAACTTTTGAGAAATCTGTAGAACCTTTGCGAAGCTTGATGAACTTTAAAGAAGTTCGTAGCTGACGGAGCTATCGGTAAATTGCCGAGATGTTGTTCGAGAGGTGGGTAATGGAAGCTCTATGAACTTTTCTTTTTAATCCTGAGAAGTACGAGAAGTCCGTAGAACTTCCGGGAAATCTGTATAATATCTTAGATGTCCGTAGAACATCCAAAAAAATCCGTAGAATTTCCGAAAAGTCCGTTGAACTTCCGAGAAGTCCAGAGATCTTCTGAGAAGTCCGGATAACTACCTAAGTCTGAAAAACTTCTGAAACATCCATAGATCTTCAAAAAAGTCTTTCGAGCTTCCGAGAAGTCCGTAGAATATCTGATTAGTCCGTATAACATCCGATCAGACCGGAAATCTTCCAAAAAGTCCGTAGATCTTCCAAAAGACAGTAGAATATCTTAAAGGACCGTAGATTTTCTTAGAAGTCCGTAGAATATCAGAGAAGTCCATAGAACTTTCGAGAAGTTCGTTGAACTTCGGAGTAGTCCATAGAACTTCCGAGAGGTCCGCGGATCTTCCAAAAAAACCTTGAACTTCCATTCATTGAACATCTCTTTAGTCCGTAGAATATCCATGATATCCTAAGCACTTCCGAGAAGTTCGCTTAACATCCAAGAAGTCCATTAAACTTCACTCGTTTTGTTTGGTTCAATTCACGATTTTTTTTTTACATCCTTCATCGCAGATGTGGGGGATTTAATGATTTCGTTGCGTAACAGTGTGGAAGGAGGGTCAAAAGAAATGTGACAATCTGTAACAAGGGGTGAGGGGCGGTTAATTCTGGCCGATTTTCGAGTGACATTATTAATAGATGCGAGCTTAAGGTTATTTTGTCTTCCTTGGAGTTCTCGACATTTTCCTGACGTTTTCGAAAATACCCGGTAGCTACATCCAAACAAATATTTAAACTTACCTGAACTTATCTGGAATTCCCTAAAGTTCTCAGGGTTTTCATGAAGATCTCAAAATGTTTCAAAACTGAAGTTCTCGCAATCCATTTTTTCTATCCTTAACAATCGTTTTCCCACGTTTTTTTAAACCATTTTTTTTTTTTACATTTCAGGCCTCAGGCGTTACACGTTTTCAACCGTTTTTCAAGTCAAAATCATTCTTCACATTTCCTAGCCCTTTCGCATTTTTCAACCATTTTTGGAGTCATCATCATTTCATTTGCGTTGTCTGGCCTGAGAAGCATGGTTTTTAACCCACGTTCTTCTGCTCAGTAAGCAAAATTGTTCACCACTAGGCCACCGAGCCCCTTGTACCACAGCAAACCATTGCACAGTGAGTCAGAAATTAAATCAAGCAGGAAAAAAAATAACGCTCTGGGATTGCATCCAATTGAGTTGACATCTTCAGCAAAGTATCTTGGTTTAGTTAGGACCATAATGTGGTGGATAAAACTAGTTCAAGTTTTTGCCGCAAACATGGCGCAGCGATACCAACTTTGTTGTTTCAGACGTTCGAGTTATGCTGTCTTCAGAGACCGTAAAATTTTATGAAAAGTTGCTGAAGACATAAAGCTGTAAATTTTCAGAGATCAACGTTTTAAAAAACTTTTTGAGTATTCAGTTTTATGAATACGTTCAAATGAAAACTTTTGTCATTATTTTTCGATCGGTTTTGGATTAGTTCATTGTTTACAGAACAATACTTTAATTTTTAGGATACTAAAAAAAAATACATAATTTTCGGAATATTTATTCTCGAAAAAGCAAAAGTGAGTGCAAAATTTTATAACTTATTCAAAATGAAAATCAAATAGACTATTATTCCTCAAAATATCTCAGAGATATGTTGAGATATATTTGAGATATTTGGAGCCCACATCGAGCATACGTCATATTTTACAGTGAAACCATGTTTTTTTTTTGCTCATGTTCAACAGAGCTCTTTCAGTAGTGATTTTCTACGTTCTCATTCTTCCATTCAGAAAAAATAATAGAAAGGAACCTTGGATTTAAAGCACGATCTTCAGCTCAGTAAGCAAAAACAGTGGAGGCGAGCTTCGGTTCATGAGATAAGGGCATTACAAGTTTTGTTTACTGAAGCTAATAGGCCCCTTTCAATTGTTGGATGAGAAATTACCACGAACAACGATCGGTGAAGTCTGCAGACATGAAGCCCAGCAAAAAAATTAGCCCAGGATCTGTTGGATGAATGTATTCTTTATAATAATTAAGGAATTTTCAGGGACTACGGATATATATTTTTTTAAACAAAAAATCATTCAAGTATTAAGCATTCAAGGTTCTCTAAATTGTTTTATTCTGGAAAGGTAAAACAAAAAAATTCTGATTTTGACAGATAAAGCTGATTAGAATTAAAAAAGTTCTCCAATAATTTCAAGACTTTTCCCTTAAAACTGTTTAGTAAATTCAAGAGCATTATTGTTGATTCGAAAAACCTTTAAGAATATATTAATTATCAATAAAAAGAGTTCTAAAATAATGATGACTTCAAAAACAACTGCTTTGGATGTATTAAATTCCTTTTCGAAATTAAACACCAACGTCATCCAGTGACCAACGACGAGTAATCGAAGGAAAATATAGTTTTAAAAAATAGTGGAAACACAAAGCAAGAGGCTACGAAGATGAAGAAATAAGACATGTTTAGTAATAATGTCCTCGCTGAGGGATCATTTAGACCTTACCACGACTTTATTAATTCTTATGTAACTAGACACCGTAGCGATGTTCAAACGACAATAACCTATTTTTTAGGAAATCAAATCGATACGGTAGCTTCATAATCAACGCACGAGTATCTATTAATTTAACTCTTGATGATAAGGGAACCACAAAACAAAACATTTTTCCGCGATAATTACAGAAACAGATACCTCATTATCGCTAACGCAACCAGTGTAATCGTTGCCCGAATGGTCGCCGCTGTCGATTCTGCTATGACTAGCGATTCATACGGACCCAAAGTCACGCTGTACGGATTCACACCTTGGCCGACTCTATACAGAGACTCCGTTCCAGTTAAGCGAACCACGACCGAACTGTTGCCCACTTCATAGAGGTAACCCAGATCAACGGTCGTGACTTCGTCGGCCAGATTCACAACGGTGATGAAGTAGTGGTCATCGTAGATTCCACTTGGATCTTGCTGCGGTTTTATGTAACGTACAAAGGCAAACACGTTCTCGGCCAGCGCTCGCGATTTGTAGTGACCGTGGGAAAAGACGGGATTCTTGCGTAGCTTTACGGCGTCCACATAGAATTTGTACGTACTGTAGTCCGCTTCCCATTGTTTGCGAAGGTTTGTCTGACGGAAGTACGGGTAAATTGGCAACCAAGTCCTATTGGCCGAGGAGAATCCTGCATTGTAGGAATCATCCCACTGGAAAGGAGTACGCTGGGGGTCTCTCGATTTCCATTGGTACTCTTCGGGTCCCACGTTGCATCCCTGTGGATCGCGACTGTCTTCGTAGGAGATGTCTCGGAAGTCTAGCATACCGATTTCCTCACCGTTGTAGGTTACGGCGACGCCAGGCAGCGTCAGCAACATCAATAGCATTCCATCAATGCGCTCCCGTCCGTACCGACTGCCAACGCGTGGTTGATCATGGTTTCCCAGCTGCAAAGACATTGATTTAGATGATTCTACTTGGGTTGAAGAAGGATTTGCTTACCACCCAGTTGGTGACCTTTCCACGGGGCATGTTTTCCAGGAATCGATCGATGACGAATTTGAAGTCCCGAGCCTTGGATCCGGCATCCAGTTCCGTGATCATGGCAAAGTTAAACGGGAAATGAGCTCGCTGTTCGGTCCCGTCGTCCGACTCGTAAAACCGCATGATCATATCCATACTGGTGTAGGCTTCGGTCATCATGATTCTGGAAGGTATGATATTGGTTATTTTCGTGTGTTTGATCGTGTTTGCAATTACCTACATAGTTTCACGACTGTTTTCTTCTGTAAACTCGTCCAAGACACGTCTCCAGTGACCGATCACATCGTAGGTTTCCAACTGTGAACAAATTTAAACTTATTTCCGATCACAATCTCATCAATCTCATCGAAGAATAGATCAAACTTACCAAGCTGTTTGTGTACATGTGATTGGTGTAACCGTAGCTCAATGGATCGGATGGATCAACCACCGTTTCGTCCCGGAAAAGTTCATCTTCGAACATATGGTTGATGGCATCCACTCGGAATCCGGACGCGCCTTTTCCCAGCCAAAAGCGTAGAATCTCATCAAATTCTGCAATAACTTTCTCATTTCGGTAGTTTAAATCCGGTTGACTTACCTCGAACTGGTGCAGGTAGTACTCTTTTCGAATGTCACTCCACTCCCAAGCCGAACCGTAGAAAACGGAATTCTGAAAAACCTCGATCACTCTCAATACATTCATTCCACAATTAATCAATCAGTACCTTACCCAGTTATTCGGAACGTCCGGTTTTTCCTGACCTGCAATCTTTTTACCCGGATGCCATACGTAGTAATCCTTGTACGGTTCCACTCCTAGCTCCGACTGGTTGAACCACCAATGCTCCACACTGGAATGATTCGGCACAAAGTCCAAGATGATTCTGATCCCCAACTTCTTCGCCTCGGCAAACAGCTCCTCCAGGTCTTCGTTAGTACCAAACAGCTCATCCACTTCGATAAAATCACTCACATCGTATCCAAAGTCCCGTTGCGGAGACTTGAACACCGGGCTCAACCAGGTCGCATCGATTCCCGTATCCTTCAGGTACTGCAGCTTCGCCGTTACACCTTTGATGTCCCCAACTCCGTCCCCATTGGTGTCGTAGAATGATCGCGGGTAAATCTGGTAGAACAGTGCCGTCTCCCACCAGTCCTTTTCAGGGAGTTGTTGACCGGCACTGTACAGAACCAAACCGGTTAAATACAGCAGTAATGTCTTCATTTCCTAACGATATGGAAGCTACCGAGCATCCAAACGATGTGGTCGGTGAACTGATACTGAGAGAACTGTATCATGCCAAACGGTGTATTATAGACATCGTGTAATCTCCTGACATGAGATATCTGTGCGCCTCCTATATTTAGAGATAACGGATAATTGCATGAAGGTGTGATAATAGCGGAAGCCTTGTACCGATGATTTGCCAGATTACACGCGTATTGGGCATTATTCAAACATGTAATCGAAATTCTAATAAGATCGACTGACTGTGTCAACTGAATAAATTTCAACCCTAACAAAACTGTCAGAGCACATTCACCGCCATCCGATACAGTTGATAAATGATTCACGAGTCTGTATCAAAGCGCTGATTGTATCTTGATATCATTTATTTTTAAAGGCGAGAGGGTAGCGAAGGAACACGGCTGCTCGGAGGATAATTCATTATTAACTTTTTTTTTGTTTGCACTTCAGTGTATGGTATCGCGGAGAAGAATGCGACCATCACGTCCATCCGACGGAGGTGGGATAATTAGGCACGGAATATTCAGGTGACAACATTCAAGTTTTATTTTCGCCTCGTTGCTACGGTGTTTTGCAAAGTTCAGGAATCTGGCGATTCTTGCCCGGTAGAGTTGTCTATGCGGAAGAAGGAACTAATGGAATTTTGAAGAAAAAGCAGATAAGAAGTGCATCAATTATCCAGGCGAAAGCAGAAAGATGCAAAGGAATTAGATCGAATACATTTGCACATCAGTAATCTGAAAGGGTACTCAGCAGTTCCATTTCAAATGACGATTTTTTTTTTTTAAATTTTTAGATCGACGTTCTACGATTATGTTGAAACTTTGCACAGTTGTTTGTTATTGTCCAACATTCCATTTTACATATTTGGTTCCCTAGTTTTGTACACGACTAACACTTGAAAAGGGCTTATGCAAAAATGATACGCATCAATAGAAAAACATATATCTCGCGAACGAGATTGATATGCTGTCTTCGGTGAAGTTGCGGACAAGTATTGTACCTTTCAAGAAAAAATATACACTGTAAAAAAATATTTTGTTATTTACAAAAAAAATCAAAATTATAAAAAAAAATTAAATTACTCAACTTGCGTAGTTTTTTATTTTTTTTAATATTTATATTGTAGTTAATAGATAAAGTGCTACTTATTGACAATGTGCGTTTGCTAAGCAACTCATAAACAAAAAAGTTATGAATTACTGAAGAAAAGTACTATTTTCCTAAATACTACTTACAGTTATCGAATATCTTTGAAATGGTGTTATTATTATAACACATTAAACAAAACAACAAAAAAGCTCATAATGCTTAAATTGCCCAAAGTTGTTATTTTCGAGATACTCGTAGGTTAAAATTCACTTATCGCATAATTTGAGCAATTATCTCTCTTTTGAGATGTTGTTCGTAAGTGTTTAATCTTGCAAATATTTTTAAACGAAAAGCCCAATCAATTTTCTTAAGCTTTGCAGTTCACAGTTTTTCAATCAGACGCATGAGTTAAGATATAAATAATTATGACCGTCTGGGAAAAGTGTATTTTCCTATTTGGCCCCTTATACGGCTAGTTTCGAAGACCACGGTGGAATAGAAAACAACCATAAGAAGTGTTTGATAGCCTTTTCGGGTGATTGTTAGTGCCGTAGCTACACAATAGGAACGGGCAAAGCGGACAGGCCCCCTCCAGATATGTCCAAGACCACCCACCTCAGATTTTTTTTTAATTTTTTTGTTCATATTGCGGTTCGTAGCATAACTAGTTTTGACAATAAACCTTATTTTTCAATATGTCGCAATAACCCCACCTGGGTTAATTTTTCAAAAGACTTATCTGCTTTTGTAAACAATGCGTTCGATCGTCGATTTAACGTAACTGGGAGCTCGTCCACGCAAACTAACACCACTATCAGATAGGGGAAACCTTCCCCAACTTAATAGTGTTAGTGTGCATGGGTGAGTTCCCAGTTGCGTCAAATCGAGTATCCGAGATTTTTAATACCATTCGCAAATTATGGCATTCATTTCATTAATAAAAATGTATTTAATAAAATAGTAGGTATTTATTAAGTTCACATTATATAATTACATTAATACTTAATACGTCTATTTAAACAAATTACAAACCTTTGCATCATGATCTGAACAGTTTGAGAACAATTTAGCTTCAATTTTATCTTCAGATATAGGAATAAATGAGTGAAATTTTTGCGTTCCTTGAATTGTTCTTGCTTCACAATATTGTTCATTAAGCTCTGCCGCCATAGTTTTATATTCTTCTGATGTTACAAAACCAAATGATAAACTCGTCAACTCTTCCTCCTTTCGATTATTTGCCCAGTTATATAATTCTTTGGCATTTTTAATTGGATGTTCACGTTCTCTGGCTAAACTGGCTCGTGTAACCATGCGCTTAATCGTACCTCCAATACCATCACACGGTCCTTTGCCATGGGATGTCGCAAAGAAATGCCATTCAGCTTCAATTTCATACATAGACTTGAACTTGCAGAGACTAGAAAAATTCTTACAGTTTTTGTACTGTGCAGCAGCTCCGTCAGACGTAAAATAAATCTTCTTCACTATTTTTCTCTGATCTGTACGTAAAAAAGTAATCATTTTGGAAATAAACAGGTTAACAGCTACTGCATCATGTGCCAACTCTTCAGAGATAATTATGAAACTAAAATGAAGCACTTGCGAGTTTTCTTTATAGTATATAACGAATGGATGGATAGAAGCTTGTTGTACATTCCAATGATTAGATTGTACTTCATCCTGCAGTACAAAAGAGAAATTTGCAGAATAATCACAAATGACTAAAAATTCCCCTACTTGCAAATTGTTTTTCGTTGTTTTTAAGAATTTAGATTGTTCTGTTTTAATGTAATCGTGCGGTATCAATTTGAGTAATTTTTCACAAAAATATGAAACAAAATCTTCAGGCTCTTTAACAATAGTTTGTATATCACATCTATCAGTAGTTACCCACTGTTCGAATCACAGTTGATCAATCAGTTTTTCTTCTAATTGCTGTGTTAAAAAATCCTCAATTGACGAAATGTCTGGACAATCCTCACAACATCTAAGATAACAATATGCTGTTTTTCTTTCACAAATTAAACTATCAGTCAAGGACTTTAAGTCATACAAAATATTGTACTTTTTTAAACTATGTGTTATAAGATAAAAAATTTCACGATTTCTACAAACGCAAACATTGTGCGATCCTGAACTGGTTAAAAGTTTGCAGTATTTAGGACGAAGTTTCGCGAATGAAGAAATTCCTATTTTTACCTCACTATTAATTTCCTACGTATGCTTCTTTAAAGGCCCAAGCGCAATGACAGCGGAAGCGGAAAAGCCCGATTTGAGTAAGCCTATTTATCGGATTGAAAACAAGTTAGAACCAAATCGACTTCGGTTAGGCAGCTTGATGTCATTTGTGACAACTGTCAAACTTTCCGTTTCCGTTCCGCTTCCGCCCACATTGCGTTTGGGCCCTAAGTGTCGTCATCAATAACCTTTTCTGTATTGCTTTCCATTTTCCATCGTTTTTCACTGACACGTAGTCTCTCTGGCCAGGCATCACCCGACTTGTTTCATCGTCCTCAAAAAATTTAACAACAAGTTCCTTCGTTGCATCATTTAAGCCATGGCCCGATCTTCTGTGAACTGCTGAATGTGCTAAATCAGTTTCAAATAATTCTTTAGCTGCTGTTGCGAAGTACCTTGTGGTGCAAATATGCAATTAGGTACCAGACATTCAGTGGCTTGATTTTCAACGCTTGTTGTATAGAGACGTGTGCGTCTGATTGAAAAACTGTGAACTGCAAAGTTTAAGGAAATGGATTGGGCTTTTCGTTAAAAATACTTTCAAGGTTAAACACTCACGAACAACATCTCAAAACAGTGAAAATTGCTACAATTATGCGATAAGTGAATTTTAACCAACGAGTATCTCGAAAATAACAACTTTGGGCAATTTAAGCACGATGGGCTTTTTGTTGTAGATTTAAATAACTGTCAGATAAATCTTTGAGAACGAGATAAATACAAATAAAATGTTTGCATAACACTGTTTGACATAAGGATTAAGTAGTATTAGTGAGTGCGCAAGCATAACTGTCACTGAAATCTTCTCGCAGAAGTCTAAAAATTCGTGCAATGCATAATAATGTGTTTTAATAATAACACCATTTCAAAGATATTCTATAACTGTAGGTAGTATTTTGGAAAATAGTACTTTTTTCAATAATTCATTACTTTTTTGTTTATGAGTTGCCCAGCAAACGCACATTGTCAATAAGTAGCACTTTATCTAAACTACAATATAAATATAAAAAAAAATAAAAAAAATATGCAATTTGAGTAGTTTAAATTTTTTTATAATTTGATTTTTTTTTTTTTTTGTTAATAACAAAATAACTTTTTACAGTGTATATTTTTTCTTGAAAGGCACAATACTTGTCCGCAACTTCGCGCAAGACACCATCTTGATCAAACAAATCGTTCGCGAGATATATTTTTTTTTCTATTGATGCGTATCATTTTTGCATAAGCCCTTTTCAAGTGTTAGTCGTGTACAATACTAGGGAACCAAATATGTAAAATGACATTCTGGATAGTAATAAACAACTGTGTAAAATAACAATTAATTCTATAAACTTCGATCCGAAACGATTTGCGAATCTGTGTGGAACTACTGAATTACACTACTTTTTCGAACTGTGTGGTTATTTACATTTCCTACACAGATGTTGGCACATGCATTACGACTTCTCTGTTTTTGTCAATGTAGTCCAAAAGTGTTTTACAACATCACAGTGACATGACATATTTGAGCCATGGTAGATACTAGATGGTCACAACAAACCTTTACAGTAACAACTTGATCCAGTTGGTTGCAACACGAAGTTCGAACACTTACAGATTCATAACAAGATTGCAAATAGGTTCTTCAACACATCTTGGTTCATCAACACTCTTCT